GTATAGGGGGTGTTTAAATTTTTTATTTGCTAATTTAGCAGGAGTAAAATGGTACTTCAGGGTTGGTTTATTTTGCATTTCTTTGATTATTAAAGGAAATTAGCATTTCCCCCTGTGGTTACTCTTTGTATTTCTTTGGATGTGAGTTGTCTGCTAACATTTCTAGTTCTTTGCCTCTTTTAATAAATTGGAGGGCTGGGGTTGTAGCTCAGTTGTAGAGCATTCGCCTGGCACATGCGAGGCACTGGGTTTGAGCCTCGGCGCCACATTAGAAAATATAAATAAATAAATAAATAAAATAAAGGTATTGTGTCCACCTACAACTAGAAATATTTTTCTAAAAAATAAATCAGGGTCTTGATTTTTTTCTAAAACTGAATGATATCTTTACTCACAATAGATATTAAACTTTTTCATTTGTGTTTCACATATATCCCAGTGTTTGCTGCCTTTTAATTTTAGATATTTATTTGCAGTAGAAAAATCCTTATTTTTGTAATCAAATCTGTCGATGTTTTTTCCTGTTGCTTTGAAGCTTAGAAAGCTCTCCCCCCTCTGGAGAGTTGATAAATATTTAATTCTACCTTCTGTTATTTGAAATTCTTTAATTCATCTGGATAATATTTACTATAAATTGAGTTGCAAATTACTTTTTTTCTCCTAAATTACCCATCAGTTATGCCCATCTTCCTGGCCTTCTCTTCCTTCCCAGGAATCATCCACCAGATGAAAGGCGACTACGACACTGCGCTGAAGCTGCACAAGACGCACCTGTGCATCGCCCAGGAGCTGAGCGATTACGCCGCCCAGGGCCGCGCCTACGGGAACATGGGCAACGCCTACAACGCCCTGGGCCTGTACGACCAGGCGGTCAAGTACCACCGGCAGGAGCTGCAGATCTCCATGGAAGTGAACGACCGCGCCTCCCAGGCGTCCACGCACGGGAACCTCGCCGTGGCCTACCAGGCCCTGGGCGCCCACGACCGGGCCCTGCAGCACTATCAGAACCACCTGAACATCGCCCGGGAGCTGAGGGACATCCAGAGCGAGGCCCGGGCCCTGAGCAACCTGGGGAACTTCCACTGCTCCCGGGGAGAGTATGTCCAGGCTGCCCCCTATTACGAACAGTACCTGCGGCTCGCTCCTGACCTCCAGGACATGGAGGGAGAAGGGAAGGTCTGCCACAATCTCGGCTATGCCCATTACTGCCTTGGCAATTACCAGGAGGCGGTGAAGTACTACGAGCAGGACCTGGCATTGGCCAAAGACCTTCATGACAAGTTGAGCCAGGCGAAAGCCTACTGCAACCTGGGCCTCGCATTCAAGGCGCTGCTGAATTTCAGCAAAGCTGAAGAGTGTCAGAAGTACCTGCTGTCCTTAGCCCAGTCCCTGAATAATTCCCAGGCTAAATTCCGGGCCCTAGGGAACCTGGGCGATATATTCATCTGTAAAAAAGATATAAATGGTGCAATAAAATTCTACGAGCAGCAGCTGGGCTTAGCCCATCACGTAAAGGACCGAAGGCTGGAGGCCAGTGCGTACGCAGCCCTGGGCACTGCATACCGGATGATCCAGAAGTATGACAAGGCCCTGGGCTATCACACGCAGGAGCTCGAGGTGTACCAGGAGCTCAGCGACCTGCCAGGGGAGTGCAGAGCCCACGGGCACCTGGCTGCTGTCTACATGGCCCTTGGCAAGTACACGATGGCCTTCAAGTGTTACGAGGAGCAGCTGGATCTGGGGCAGAAGCTGAAGGACCCAAGCCTAGAGGCCCAGGTCTATGGCAACATGGGCATCACGAAGATGAACATGAACGTGATGGAGGAAGCCATCGGCTACTTTGAGCAGCAGTTGGCCATGCTGCAGCAGCTCAGCGGCAACGAGTCTGTGCTCGACAGGGGCCGCGCCTACGGCAACCTGGGGGATTGCTACGAGGCCCTGGGTGACTACGAGGAAGCCATCAAGTACTATGAGCAGTATTTATCTGTGGCCCAGAGTCTGAATCGCATGCAAGACCAAGCCAAGGCTTACCGGGGGCTAGGAAACGGACACAGGTAAAAATGACAAAAGACAGATCAGGTAGAGAAGCCTTCAACAGGAGCAGCGGTGAGGGTGAGGGCACCTCTGTGTGGCAGCTTATTAACTACAAAGCATTTCCACACGAACCTCCTTTGCTTTCTCCCACACTCTTTGTGTTAAGCAGGTGATATTATTACTTTTGTGTTACGGAAGAAGAAACCAAAGCCCAGAGAGGTTAGGTTAATGCTTGAGATTACACAGCTTAAAAGGGATGACTAAGAGTCACACCCAGGGCTCTGACTCCAGAAGTGGTGTTTTTTGGATGATATCAAAAGGATCAAGATAAAAGAGGGAATAGGAATGGGAATGGGAATGAATCAATTTGACAGGGCTTTTCTAAATACCTCCCACATTTTATGAATGTGTTTATCAGTATATCCCTACCCACTAACTCCTTTTCCTAAAAGCACCCGGATATTTGCAGGAGTGGACGGACCCCTCCCCACGCCCTCACCAGGCTGGGCCCCTCTCAGAGCTCTCTTGACAGAGCAGTCCTGGTTTCTGTGCACTATCACCTGCCAGGCCTGAGGATGTGTCCCCCCCCCAGAAACTGAGACTCAGGAAAGGGAATCCTTAGGCCCCACACAACTGGTTTGATTTGCTGCCAGGTCCCGTGCTCTTCCCATTCTGATCGTGTCATCTCCCAGCAGCACACAAAGACACACAGTTGGCCAAGGGTGCTTTTCTTCCAAATGTGGGGTGCCTGTGTCTGCAGAATCTATGGCCTCACCACATAAGCAGGGGATTAGGGCCCCGGGATGGGAGGAAGGGGAAGGGTCAAACTAAATCATCACCCACAGAGTGCTCTGAGAAGCCCAGGTGACAGATTTATAGCCTCTGTAAAGTGATTTCAAAAACATAGTCTAAGCAGTAGTGGAAATTGGGAAGCCCGAAGAACCCAACAGTTCACTTGCTATCATTGTGCCTATTAATATGTTTTATGTTTCCTCTGGGGTGTATATCCCATTGAATCTCAAGCTCTTGGGAAGGTCACTAAGGGATGACTTTTGAATTGCTTTCCAGATTATGAAATTCCTCTGCATCTCACTCTAAGGGCACATGATAGATTTTAGCTAGAAGAGGAGTTAAGAGCTTCTATAGTAAGTGACAGTGACAAATGCTTTCCATTTTCTCAGGGGCTTTGGCATGTCTGCACCTGCACGAAATAATATCATTGCTTTTCTGTCTCCATCCCCACAGGGCCATGGGGAGCCTGCAGCAAGCCCTCGTGTGCTTCGAAAAGAGGCTGGTGGTGGCCCACGAGCTCGGGGAGGCCTCCAACAAAGCCCAGGCCTATGGCGAGCTGGGGAGTCTGCACAGCCAGCTGGGGAACTACGAGCAGGCCATTTCCTGCCTCGAGCGCCAGCTCAGCATCGCTCGGGAGATGAAGGACCGAGCCCTGGAGAGTGACGCGGCCTGTGGCCTGGGGGGCGTCTACCAGCAGATGGGCGAGTACGACACGGCCCTGCAGTACCACCAGCTCGATCTGCAGATCGCCGAGGAAACCAACAACCCCACGTGCCAGGGCCGAGCCTACGGGAACCTGGGCCTGACGTACGAGTCCCTGGGCACCTTCGAGAGGGCTGTGGTCTACCAAGAGCAGCACTTGAGCATCGCTGCGCAGATGAACGACCTGGTGGCCAAGACGGTGTCCTACAGTAGCCTCGGAAGGACCCACCATGCCTTGCAGAACTACTCCCAGGCCGTCATGTACTTACAGGAAGGTAGGTGACCAGGCCACCCTGGCTCCGTCTGCCAGAGACTCGGGGGAGTATACAGCTTGAGGGGTCGTCTCTGCATGGAGTGAGGGTCTCAGAGGCCACATTGTCTCGACTCCAGAGTCACAGTGGCTCCCTGGGTGGTTCTGAGGCGCTTCACTGATGGTTCTGTTCGTGTTCCTGCCATGCTGGGGATCGAACCCCGGCCTCGCACGTGCTGGGACAGTGCTCTAACATCGAGCCACACGCCGAGCCCTGAGTCATTGTCCAGAACACCTTGTCCTGCTCTGTGGGCCCAGACTGCCACACCGTCAGTGACACCAGCTGCCCAGGGAGCAGCTCCTCAGAACCCTCTGCTGGGTGAACGACTCAAGTCAAGTGAGACCTGGTCACGTCTAGCTGAGGGTCTGTGTGCCTCAAGTCCTGTGTCCCCTAGGAAATACCTGACCTGTACCACAGCTGTGTAGTCATCAGCTCTGAGCCAGCGACAGGCCCAACCTGAGCATCCTCCCGAGTGTCAGCCAGCTTTCCTCCTGGGCCTGCAGGGCTGGGCTGCCGTGTGGCGGGTTCTGTTCCGGGTGCCCCTAGGAACTGGCTGCTTCTCCTCCTCCTCTGCCATCAGGTTCCCTCCATTTGCTGAGCACAGTGGGTCCTTGGACGCCTCCTTTTCTCCAGAGCAGAAGCCCCATGGCAGGGTCTGCCCTCCCCCTGTTTACCCTGGGTGGCCTCTGCTCTGAGGTCCTCCCACAGACACTGGGCTCCTCCGAGCCTGGACAGGAGAGGGCAGAGGCGATGCCCTCCACTCACTGGTGAAAGGAAATGATTGCTGTTTTCCTATGAAACCTCTTTATCTATAGTTTCCAAAAGGTTTTGCACAGGTAGTTTATTTAATCTGATTTAATCCTCGCAACCTTGAAGGTTGCAGCTAAGTCACCTTGAGGCTCGGGGTTAGGGTCTTTGTTTCCTGATCATGTGGCTGGTTAGTTGCAGAGTCGGGCTCTGGGTTTTCTCACCCCGGGAACCAAACAAGACCCTGTGGGGGGGCCACTTCCAACCAAACAAGACCCTGTGGGGGGGCCATTTCCAACCGCAGAGAACAGTGCAGGGTTGGGGCGGTGCTGTCCTGGCTACTGCTGAGCCCCAGCTGGGAACCGGGAGAGAAGCAGGGGCCGAGTGGAGGGCGAGGGAGGGGCTCCCTGTTCTTGCACAGATGGGCCCCGCTGGCTGCAGGCTGAGGGTCCTGGGGGACTGCAAGCCTCTGTCCAGGCCTTATTTAGCTCCCACTCCCTGCAGATGGGGCCGTGCTTTGGTGCATTCAATATGAACAATGGCTTCTGGCTTCCGGAGCCACTTGACTGGTGAAATTCCAACAGTCTAGGGGCAATTTTCAGTTGAATTTGTGAAAACTATTAAATTGAGACCCAGCATCTGACAACTTCTTAGCTGTGTTCTCCAGACCTTCCTGAAATACTGTTTCCGTGCCACAGCTGGCTGCCCGAAACACCACACCATCACCAGGGAAAACTGCCAGCTCCTTTTTTATTACTTCTTGCAATTCCTGAGTCTCATGGAGACCTGAAGACTCGTGTTTGTAGCCTCTCGTGGTGTCTGCCTTAAGGAGAGCTCCAGCCAGAGCAGCCCTCCATGCCCTGCTCACAGGGTCGGGCCGATACAGGTGCAGGCCCCTGCAAGGTGCTCTCGTGTGCTCCAAGATTGGTCTGCAGCCTCTTGCACTGAGGGGACAGTTCAGCTGGAAAATACCCCAGTGCCTTCTCCTGGCCTTCAGAGGGGAGGGGGCTGCAGATCAGCATCGCCCTTCCCCCGCATTGGCATCTCCCAGTGAGGCTGGGTCTAAGTCAGCTGAACAAGCTCCCCAGGTGATGCGGATGGATGCCTCTGGGTAAAGCCTCTGGTTTCTCATCTTACAGATGAAGAAAGGGAGACTGGGCAGTTTGGTGATTTACTTGGGGTTATGCCGCCAGTCTCTGGCTCTCCACTCCAGGGAGCTGAACAGCAGATGCACATAGGAGCTAGGCAGGCCACTCACCATATCTGGGAGGGGGTTGTGTTGTTTTTTTACAATTCTGGGAATTGAACCCAGGGCTTCACACGTGCTGGACAAGTGCTCTGCCACTGAGATGTACCTTCAGCCCTTTGTAAATTTTATTTTGACACAGGGTTTGAGTTGCCCAGGATGGCCTTGAATTTGTGATCCTCCTGCTGGAATTGCCCGTGTGTACCATGCACTTGGCTGTCCAATGGGCCTTTACCTGTTTGTCATAGAGCACTGCCTAATGCTACTTAGGTGTCCTAGGTGCTGGGCTACAACAGGAACCAAGCAAAGCTCCTGTTCTCACCAAACATGCCTTCTAATTTGGCTTCCCCAGGCAGTTTACTTGACTCACACCCACACCTGGCAGGGACATCAAACTGGAGAACTAACCTGGCAGCTTGTTGAAAGTTAAAACAATCAGTATCCTCCTGGTTTTCTCTCAAGAAACATCTTTTTTCCACATGTGTTTACTTTTTGTGAGGTGTTTAAAAATATGAGTTGCTGGGCATGGTGACTCGTGCCTGTAATCCCAGCAACGTGGGAGGCTGAGGCAGGAGGATCACAAGTTCAAGGCCAGCCTTAGCAATTTAGCAAGGCCCTAAGCAACTCGGTGAGATCCTGTCTCTAAATAAATAAAAATGGCTGGGGATGGGGCTCCGTGGTAAATGCTTTTGGGTTCAATCCCCAGTCTCCACCCCACCCCACCCCAAAATACAAGATAATGTGCATTTGAAATATGTATTTCATGAACCTGAACCGGAGAGTCCCTTTTATCAAGGCCTCTCCTCCAGCTCAGCCCCTCTCCAGCAGCTGACAAGTGACAGGTTGTTGTGTGCAGAGGCAGTGCCACCTCTGACGTGGACCAGGGGAAGCCCTGCTTCTTGCGTGCAGCAGGCTGGGGACCCCCATGCTGTCTTCCTCACAAGCCAGCCGCTCTGTACCGGGAGCAGGAGAATGAGGGCAGAGTGACACTGAGAATGGCTTAGGGACCGATACAGTAAGTAGCTGCCTTTAGATTGGACTCCCACAAGGCCCCACAGGCTGCTGGTGTCCCGAAACCCAGAAGCTTGCTGTGGGTAAGTGAACCAGACTGCAGGGGCCTACCTGAGGCCATTAAAATGAGGACAGTCTCAATTAAGTCTTTTGACATGAGTGCTGGTTTTGCAACCCCATGGAGGCACATCAAAGGCTCAGACTCTCAGGAAACAGAGTGGACTTGGAACGTGCTGTCTCAGCAGCCGCAGGGGCAGGCCAAATCCCGTTCTGCTTTCAGGAGAACACTGCATGCCTCCCCCAGCGCCCACTCGATGCTGTGTGGCAACACGGGAAGAAGTATTATGGTAGATTCTGTGCTTTACTCCCAGGAAAAGCTTTTGCCAGCCAGAGAATCGGACAAGATAAATTCCTCAGCCAGTAGTCTCCAAGTGCAAAGCTCCGGGTTCGCATCTGGGAGGGCGCCAGGTTCAGGTTACATTTGTTTCCATTTCTGCCCCCCCAGCAAACCTGTCTGCTGCTCACAGCATCACCTGAGCTCTTGCTGGGCCTCCTTTGAGTGTCCCGGAAACTGTGCCACCAAGGTGGCATTTGAAGAGAGCTCTTGTCTCATTCCCCCTCTACTGTGCTGTTAGCGTTCTTTACCCCTGAAGCAAAGTCACCTGCCAGGACTCGTTGAGGAGTGGAACTATCTGTCTTCTCTGAATCTTTAAATTTTTCTATCTGGTTTCAGGTTTAAGGTTAGCTGAGCAACTGGGCCGAAGAGAAGATGAGGCAAAAATTCGCCATGGTCTAGGCCTCTCCCTTTGGGCTAGTGGAAACCTGGAGGAGGCCCAACACCAGGTGAGCAGGAGAACCCTGACCCCAGTGGAGTTCACGGCCAGAAGCGTGGGAGGGATGGCCGAGGTGGAGTGCACCTGGTACCAACTCATGCCTTGAGTCAATGCACAGGGTTCCCAGCCCGTGCCAGCCCAGAGGTGTTGACATTTCACACAGGGAAGACCCTTGCTCACTCACATGATAGGTGACCTAGTCATTTCTTTGGAATTCTTATATTATGTGCTGCTGCTCCACATTAAACTTTAATAGAAGCAAAATAAGAATTCACGATTATTGGATTTAATGTCTTTCTAAGTCTCCAGTTATAGCAAGATATTACCTCTCTCCCATGGTGAGTCCATGCCCCTGTGTGAGTGCAGACAGTTGAAGAGCAGTTCCTTGACACGCATCTCTGGAGGGTAGAAAGATCCCTAGAGTTACGGCTTCCTCTGTTAGGTTGGAGCAGGACAGAGATGGCTGCTTCTCAGGTCACCTCTCACCCCTTAGCCAAGGGGAAGGAGGAGAAGTCAATCAAGGCCACTCCCTGGTGCTCAAAGCACTGAGGACGTGCCATCATCTCCTGGAATGTTAAGGCATTTTTATTATACTTTTAAACTATTAAAGGCAATTTAAAGAATTAACTCTAATTTACTGGCTGCAAAAGTTAAAATTTATATTGATGGAGTGATTTACTATTTTCAAAGTACTTTTGCTCACTGAATTTTTTCTTCAAAATACCCATGAAGTCAAAGGATGATTATTCCCTTCACAGATAGGGAGCTGTCACCCTGAGTCTCGCCAAGTCACACAGCAGTCAGTAGCACAGTCCTTGCTGAGCGCTCTCCTCGTGTAGGGTTCTTAGTGTTAGAATGCGCTTCTTTAGGCTTGGAGAAACAACAGGACAGGATCTCCATTAGGGATGCCAGTTGTCTGGTCCTCAGAGTGCTCATGTGTGTGGGCGAGGCCGGCCCTCAAGGGGCCCATGCGAGTGGGCGAGGGCAGTCCTCAAGGGGTTTGTGCCAGTGGGCGTGGCCCCTTGGGGAGCTTGTCCATCATGGTCCCTGACCCTGGGGAGGGTGGGGAATGATTGAGTCTGCGGCACTGAACCACCTGCAGAGGCTGCCACTGGCCTGCGAGTGTGGCGCCTCTGCCCTTGCCCTGGCCTCCTCCATCTCCAGGGTGCCTCCACCGCACGGGCCCATTCCCGTCCTTACGCACCCTTTTCCTGGGGACAATGGATCATGGTTGCCTGATGACAAGAAGAGAACTTTTGTTTTAATCAAAATTAGCATTTGTTTGGATTAATAGTTTTTTCTTAACTTCCTTTGGACCTGATGTCTATAACTCTGTGTTTAGATCTCTTGACCAAAGTTGATTCCATAAGCTATGATTTACTGGGGACAGGGTGACACTTCTTCAGCCCACAATGGCCTCCCTGGAAATAGATTCTTTACAAACCTTTAAGAACACGTGGGTGGTACCAGGTGTTAGCAGAGTCATCTGTACTCTGGGAAGAGCTGGCCTGGCTCTGGGAGGTGGGTGACGACCTTCTCCCCCCTGCAGCTCTACAGGGCGTCGGCCTTGTTCGAGACCATCCGGCACGAGGCGCAGCTGAGCACCGACTGCAGACTCTCGCTCTTCGACCTACAGACGTCGTCCTACCAGGCCTTGCAGCGGGTGCTCGTCAGCCTTGGTGAGAGTGGTTGGTGTGTGCTCGTTGTCCCCAGGGTGCCCACCACAGCTCTGATGCAGTGTGATTTGTTGTCACAACCAGCAGTTGAACACTTCTTCCTTTATTTGACAAAGACTGATAGAGCACCTACTGTGTGCATGCCAGTGCCAGCCCTGGGGATAATAGTTCAGAGGCTCCCAGGCTGTCGAGCCATAGTTCAGTACCCATTGTTTGCGCTAAAGTAGAGAAACTCCGGTCCTGGGAAGTTTAGCAGTCCTGGGAGCCTGAGCAGGTGTCCCTGAGACAGATGCCTGGGCCAGGAGTCCCTGACCCTCACATTCCTTCCCTTCTTCACCCCACCTGGCTCAAGCCTCTGACCAAGGGGAAGCACCTGAGAAGACACAGGTGTCTTCCGTTTCCCCAGCACACAGCCTCCCCGACGCTGTTCAGGGAGCGCACCCTCTTGGCCTGTCCTCTGGGCTGTGACGTTCACGGTTGGGGCTCGTCCTCTCAGGCCTGCATGATCTGGGGCACTGGGGCAGCCTTCATTCCTCTCATCCAAGCCTCAACTGTCCCCTTCCAACTCCTCGGTCGCCTGCCTCTTCCCAAAAGATATTCACTGAAACTAACAGTCTTTGAAGTTGAATGTTGGGGACTTTTCAGTAACCTGCCCTTTCCTGTGTGTAGGAACACTCAAGTTTCCCCTTGAAAAGTTAAATACTCATTGCCCAGGATTATAATTTACTGTCTGTTGGAGTCACAGTGCTGAGTCTGTCCAGCACCACGGGACTGATTTTCCAGCGAGCACAGGAGCTGTCCCAGCTGTTCCCATTGATAACTTAATAGGGTAAAAGATACATTTGCACACACTCCCGTGAATGCCCACTTTGTGCCAATGCCTGAATGGTGGGCAGCAAGGCATTCTTGATGTGCCACCTCAGCTGTGGCCCTGGTCCCCTGCCTCTGCATGCTCTCTCCATGGACCAGGCTCTAGCAGCTCTTCCATGCTCTTATTTACCCTGAGATCCGTCCTCTGCATTGTGCTGCCCACTTACAAATCAGCCCCCCTGGAAGGCAGAGGGCTCAGCATTGTTTGAGGCTTCACATCCATGAATCAGCTTTGAAGCCACATTATAGACTAGCTTCCTGCAGGAAGTGGATGAGAAGTTGGGTTGAAAGACTGGAGGAAAGCTTGAAAGAAGCAATTTTAAAGCAATAGAGACCTCAGAGGTTGAAGCCCTTTGCCCAGGGGGACTGGAAGAGAGAAGATGAGAGGGAAGTGTGCCGGAGCCAGCGTGGAATAAAGTGTCAGCTTTAATATTAACAGTGCCACTTGTCATACAGGTGCCACTTGTCATACAGGTGGTGCTTCAGGAACACCTTCACACAGAGCGCCTCGCTTGATTTTGAAAGTAGCCCTTTGAGAGAGGGGGGACAACTAGTGCAATCCCTCTTTTTGAGACAAGCGTGGTGAATAGGGAAAGGGCACCCAGCAGAGGATAGGCACAGTATAGGCATGGAGGTGTCATTGGGGGACTTGGGAGCGGGGGCTGGATGATGTAATGCACGAAGGGGCCACATCTAGGAGAGAGGAGCCAGAGGTGGGTCCTGCAGATCAGATGCAGGTGGAGGAGGGAAGCTGGTGAGCTCTGGGGGTGCTGGGGGCGAAGTCAGGGAGCCTCCCGGGATGAGGAGCAGAGTGGGCCATGCTCCCAGCTGCGGGGACTGTTGTGTGGCTGCAAGACAGGAAGGCCCAGTGACTTACGGTGACATGAAATGGGTCTTGTTGAATCACAGAACAGGATTCTGTGTGTGCACCCTGCCCCCACTGGTGATCAGAGGCAGAAACGGACTCTGCAGTCTGTCACTCTAGGGGAGCAGAGGTAGGGGCGTTTCTGCCTACAGCCTAACCCAGATGCCAGTTGTCCTTGAGGGGACTCACTCACCACGGAGCACTCAGCCTGTCCCTTTGTCTCTTAGGCCACCACGATGAAGCCCTGGCTGTAGCAGAAAGAGGTCGGACAAGGGCATTTGCTGATCTTCTGGTGGAGCGACAGACAGGACAGCAGGACTCGGACCCCTACTCCCCAGTCACCATCGACCAGATCCTGGAGATGGTCAACAGCCAGAGGGGACTGGTGCTCTACTACTCGCTGGCGGCTGGCTACCTGTACAGCTGGCTGCTGGCTCCAGGGGCAGGTGAGGCTGCTGCCCTTGGGGACCAGGCGTCTTAGCTTTGTCATGCCTGTGACCAAAAGACTTGACCAGAACAACACAGGGGAGGAAAGGCTGGTTGGTGCTCAGGGTTTCAGGGGTCAGGTCCACAGTGGGCTGACTCCATGGCTCTGGGCCCAAGGTGAGGCAGGGCATCCTGGCGGATGAAAGCTGCCCAGGACATGGCCACAAGGAAGCAGAGAAAGAGCGCCCCTGTCAAGGACAAAGGACAAAATACAAACCCCAGAGACCCACCTCCTCCAGCCACACCCTCCTTGTTCACAGTCCAGCCCAGCCAATCCATATCAGTGGATTAATCCACTGCTTAGACGACAGCTCTCCTCATCTACACATCTCACCTGTGAACGTTCTTGCATTGCATCACACATGAACCTTGGGGACACCTCACACTTAAACCACAACATCAGGCAACAGAAACACCAGCCTCGGGAAGAAAAATCGTAAAAGGGGAAAGACTAGATGAAGGAGCCATTGTCAGGTTCCATTGTCAGGACACCGTGGATATTCCACAGTGGGACATCCAGTTAATAAGACATTCGGCTTCCCCCTCTACCAGGAAACCGTGGCCCTCGCAGTGAGTCAGGAAGCACTTGTCAGGGAAGAGCAGGAGGAAGAGGTGGCATTTCAGTAGCCGCCCTACTCTTAGGCAGCTGCTGCTCATTAACTAATAAGGAAGACGGCCACTCCTAATGAGTTCTTTCTAGATATGATTTGATAATTGTGGTCCTTTGTCATGGCAAATTTAGACTAAAATGATAATGGCAACCCTCAGTTTATAAGCCTCCAGCTTGAAATTTCTGGGTTTAACAGAACCCCCTTTTTTACCAGTTTTGTTGAAAAATCTATTTTAGGGGTAAAAATCCCCTTTGATTAAATCGGCATTAAACGTTCAGGATGGAACAGTTTCGCTGAATACAGAACCACTAATTGGCTGTTAGGGCCATATTTTTTGCATAATAAAATGCTGATGGCTTTACCGCGTTGGAGACAGACCAGATCCAATTAGAGTTTATTGACTGGGGAAGTGGATCTTATAATTGGGAATCTTGAAGAATGGGCTTCTTGAATGTCTGTAAAAAGTTCAACTGCCAGTGAGAATTGACAAGATTTTCTTGAATATGTTTCTTTCTCTTTGATTTAAAAAAAGAAAAAAATGGTGCTGGATGACAGCTCCCAGCTGCTCTTTGGTCCTGCGCCCTCGCGCCTCCGCATTCAGTTGTCTCACTTTTATTATTGCAATCTTTCCCCTCCAAGTCCATGTTCTTATGGGCTTTCCACAAAGAACGCCCTTGCCCCTGACCTTTCTATGCTACAAGTTTTAAGTGACCATTTTCGGAGTGACCTGGTGAACGAGTGTCAGCCACAGTGGCATCCCCAAGTGTCCCCACTCCCAGAAGGCACTGGTGCTCCTGAGGAGGAGGCTGACAACGGGCGGGTATCAAGCTCTTTCTCTCTGTGGTTGTTACGTCTTGGGGACATGATTTGACAGGTGGCATATCCAGATCCCTGTAATAATGAGCCGTGTGTAATGAGGCTCCTATTGTTTCCCTTTTCATTCCTCTTTGCTCTTAATGACACTCCGAAGCTTTCACTGGGGGCTCTAATCCAATCAGAGAGGACCGGCGTTTTCCAGGGCTGACACAGCTCATTACCACTTGAGAATCTGCCCTGTGTTTATTGCCAGAAAACCATCGTGGACGGCTTTGGTTTCATGGAGACATCATTTTTTGCACCTTTAATCCATTAACGACCACTGACCAGTTAGCCTTATTTTTAAAAGGGTGTTTTTATTTGACCTTTATACTGTATGTTTATTTTTATTTGCTTTTGTGACATGACAGGTTTTTGTGACCCAATTTCCACTTGGCTAATTACCTGTTTGTTCAGGATTTCAGCCTCCACAGAGAACCTACCTGGGCACGTTCATGCACAGACCCCGAGAGCAGGCCTTCCCTAGCTGGTGATTCTGCAAAGCAGGAGTTTGGAAACGCATAGGGAGTAGTCTAATTACCCAGGAGCTTCTGAATGTGTCATCAGCAGCAAAGGCTGCATCTTGATTCCCTGTCATCAGGCACCACCCTTGATGGCAAAAGCTGTGGAAAGGGCACTGACCTGGGCTCAGGAGGACCTCTGGGGCGCTTTACGTAGCCTCGGCCCTCCCAGCCCTGCCCTCGGCCCCTCTCTCCAGCCAGCCCAACCCCCTGTGATGTTGGCTATGCCTGTCTGGTTTCAGGAATTCTGAAGTTCCATGAGCACTACCTGGGTGACAGCACCGTGGAAAACTCCAGCGACTTCCAGGCCAGCAGCAGTGCAGCGCTCCCAACGGCAGCCAGCTCCACCCTGGAACAGCATATCGCCAGCGTCCGCGAGGCCCTGGGGGTGGAGTCTTACTACTCGAGGTAGGAGCGCGACGTCCCAGGCCACCTCAGTTAACTCTCAGGCCTCTGTTCTATAAGTCTCCTGTTTGGACTAGTACCCGGAACCCTGTGGAAATCACTCGTTTGTGCGCCATCTACGCACGGCTGCTGTGGCAGAGCAAGTCTGTCCCCGGTGTGCAGCCCTGGGGGCCGTCTTGATTCTTCTTGGTAATTTCCCTTCAGATGGGAAGGGCCTCGTCAGAGACGCCCATTCCCTGAGCAGAGTGTGTAGACTGTTTAAAGTGAGCATGACTTTGAACGTGGCAGACCAGCTAATTAAAACTGAGGCTGGTTTTGGTTTGTAAACAGATGATAATGAGTGAGTTTGGACTGTCGCTGATGGCCCATTGGAGAACATGAGTAAGGGAGTTGTGCACTGCTGCCTGTGGAGGCGCTCAGGTGAAAGGAGCTGAACTCCAAATACCAAAAACAGAGAAGGCAAGTGCCTCCTGCCAGGCTTGTGAAGGCCTCAGCTCACGGGTACATTTGCTCATAGTGTTGACTGTTGAGATAGTTTCCACAAACACCTGGGTCTGGTTACAGCACCAGAAGAGGGTACCATGGTGCCAGGCACCCAGCTTAGCTTCCCTGGGCCCCTCAGTCCTCCAGGCATGAACCGCAGTGTCCAGTAGCTCTGGTGGTAGAGAATCTGCTTTTCCTTGCGACAGGTCCAAGGACAAATGTTGGCTTGTTCCCCACCCCACTCCCGCCCCAATGGCATCTGCAGTCGTCACAGTCCTGAGCTGTCTCCACGACTAGTCCCCGTAGAGATGCTTTGCCCCGACTCTCTGTGTGGTGGTCGTTTCCAGAAGCCAGACTGGTCTGTGGGGTGCTTATGAAGTTGGGGGAGGTTCTTGGGTGAGACGATCATGCATGAAATATCAAGATCTGGTCCAGCCCCTGGTTCAACAGAAGCCAGCACTGGAACAGGTGGCCCTGCAGGGTCAGAGCCTGTGTCAGAGCAGTCAAGAATTCCCCCCAGCCTTCTAGGCCAGGTGTGATCTGTTTTTAATTATCAAAATCAATATCATATTTTGAGAAAATAGCCAAGGCAGGTAAGAATGTCGTTCTGTAACTTCTGGTTTTGTGAAGTATGAACAGGCCTTAGCCACAGGCACACAGTGCTCTGATTTGTCTTGACTGCTGGGCATCCAAGAGTGCCCTGTCCTTACGCCAGGGCAACAGTGTGGCGATTACAGGGGTTGACAGTGTGGTGACCCCCACACCCTTGGGTGTACGACTGCCCTCTGAGATTTAAGTTACAAATGCTCCAGACTAGGTCAGACTAGCGGCATGCAAAGCCGCGTCAGCAGAGAGAAAGGCGGCTGGGCCTGTGTGATCAGACTGGCCATCAGAGGAGTTCCCGTCTAAGGAAGGGGTGGGGGAAGTGGTCGACAGGCAGGGAGGGACAAGGGACCGAGTCAGCAGGGCCTACTCCTGCAACAAGCCCATTCAGGGCACTATCAGGAGAACAGAGGATCGTGTCCCATCGGCAAGGCTGCTCCACGGTGGCAAGCGGTTGCCATGTTCCTCTTCATTCCCCTTCTGCCTCGTCTTCCTCCCATAAGGCCCGGTGTCCACAGTGTACAGGGCTCGTCATGCACGAAGCAGACGTGGCTCCCGCTCTCACTGCCCTGGGAAACAGTAAAAAATAATAATAGCAAAGAAGACAGCCTACAAATAGTTAATTAAAATTGTGGTAAGAGTTTAAATGAAAGTGCAGGGTGTAATGAGGTCCAGGCTGTGGTGAGGTGGGGAGACCTGTAGTGGGAGCAGTGGAGGCTTCTCTGAGTGGGGACAGTAGCGGAGCCAGAGGAGTGACAAGAAATAAGCTGCAGACAGACAGTGGCCCAGGCACTGGGCACAACCCTTGGTGGAGAAGTCCCACCGCCATGACTGCTTCAAGCCTCGCGTCCTGCCCATCTCTCTGGTGATCATTTGGTTTCTCCTGTAAAAACACTCGTCTGTAAAAGTCATTATTCCAGTAATAACTGGAATTCTAGTGGGGCAACTCTCTTTGTGCTTAGCCAATGAAAGTTCACTCCAGAGGCAAAAATTCCGCCTCTGTGGGCACATTAGCAAGGTCAGGCAGGTTTATCAGACTTAGAAGGCCACAGTCCTGAGCCTGAACGAAGACCTGAAGGTGCCTGGGTGTGCGCACCTGCCATCACCTCCACATGCTCAGGGGTCTCTGTGCACTCCCTTCCACAGAGAACAGCCCAGACCACTGAGGGGGCTTCTCCAGGGGAAACACAGACGCACTGGATCCCAGCTGTCGGTGATCGAGACTAACCCTCACCGTGAGAAGGAAGGGGACTCGTGGTGGTTGAGCTCCCAACACTTGTGCCCAAGCAGTTCCTTTATGAGGCTGAAGGCTGAACAAGTCTGTTCCCAGGGGTCTTTTCCACCAAAGAGTGGCTTGGGGTTATAGTTCAGCCCTTCCTCACTGGAAGGGAGAAGGGAGGGCTGGAACTTGCTGGAATTCCCCATGTTAGTGTTTCCTTCCACCTAGAGCAGAGGCTAAGTTAGGATGAGTCCTCAGGGACTGCAGCATACCCTGTGACTTGGGCTGCCCTCTGTAGCTCGGATCCCCCCTTGCACCACCAGGAATGAGGACTTTCCTGTCATTTTGGAGATGTATATTCATGCACCTCTGGGTTCAATCCTGGTACCAAAAAATGAACAAACAAACAAACAACTGTATTCATAGTTTGTGAGTTAACTCATGTTCCTGATTTTGATAGTAAAGTTGAACACTTCATTGGCATGGTTTGAATTTAATGGAATGGAATTTTTGTGAGATTCTGGTTTCTGCCTCACAATTTCATGAAGAGAGTTAAGAAAATCTCAATGACATATCCCTCCCCCTTTTTTTTAGTTGTTGATGGACCGTTATTTTATTTATTTGTATGTGGTGCTGAGAATTGAACCCAGTGCCTCACACATGCTAAGCAAATGCTCTACCACTGAGCCACAACCCCAGCCGCGACATATCCTTTTTCATCTATTAAATTAGTAAATATTTTGGAAGCTATATTTCTCAATGATTAGAAGGGTACAGGGAATGACCAGGTGTATTCCCTAGGAGTCTAATAAATAGGTTTATCCTTTCAAAAAACAGTTTTCCAATAATATTAAAATTCTTTAAAATGTTTGCGTCTTTTCAGCCCCAAATTCTCCATTTGAGAACTGGAACAAAGATATGTACATAGGAATATTTATCATAGGCCTGTAATATTATA